TATATATATATATATATATATATATATATATATATATATATATAAAAGGATGGTTAAGGGTCCACATATATTGAATTCAAACACTACTTGAGAATCTTCCATTAATTGATGTTTGGTATAAAAGAAACACTATTTAAGTCCACTAGAAAAAGACCTTTCTTTTTCACATTTGGTATTTGGTTTCATTTTAGGTTTTCCTAATTAATTTGAATTCATATGATCATAACATTTAATAAAAAAGGAAAATATTTAGTGATAAAACTTCTTTATTTTCTTAAAATCAAAATTTTGACTAAAAATAAACGAATATCATTTATCTCATCAGCATAATAGAAATAGGCCTCACTAAATAATATGGAAGTTTTAATTTTGTTAATAAAAATAAAATTTGTTAACGTGATGTCACAGGTAGATTAGATTCGAACACAAGACAAACAGGAGAAATCCTCATCAATGGTCGAAGACAATCACTTGCTTTTGGCACTTCGGTACGACGGTTAATATATCTGACCTTTTTTTTGTTTTTGTTTTTCGAGTTTAACTTTGATATATATATATTTTTTGAAAAGGCATACGTGACACAAGATGACACGTTGATGACAACCCTAACAGTAAAAGAAGCAATATACTATTCAGCCCAACTCCAATTACCTGATTCGATGTCGATATCAGAGAAGAGAGAAAGGGGTGAAGAAACAATAAGAGAAATGGGATTACAAGATGCAATGAATACAAGAATTGGTGGATGGAGTGTTAAAGGGCTAAGTGGTGGACAAAAAAGAAGAGTTAGTATTTGTATTGAAATATTAAAAAGGCCCAAATTATTGTTTCTTGATGAACCAACAAGTGGACTTGATAGTGCTGCTTCTTATCATGTTATGAATAAAATTGTTCAATTGGCTAAACAAGATGGAAGAACTATTGTTGCTTCTATTCATCAACCAAGTAGTGAAGTGTTTCAACTTTTTCACAATCTTTGCCTTTTGTCATCTGGAAGAATTGTATACTTTGGTAACATTTCTAATGCTAATGAGGTATGTACGTTACTACGTACGCACGTTACTGGTGTCGAATGAACGGGTTGGGTTAACTAATTAATTTTTGGTTTTTTTTAGTATTTTGCTTTGAATGGTTTTCCATGTCCAACAATGAGGAATCCATCGGATCATTATCTAAGGACAATCAACAAGGACTTTGATATTGTAAGTTAAAAAAAGAATTATTTTCTTCGTTATTATTAATTAATTAAAATCAAATTATCAATGTTTATTTTGATTTTAATTAATTAGGATATTGAAAAAGGAGTTGGTGGAAAAGCTACTGCTACAGAAGCAATTGATATTCTTGTGAAGTCATACAAGACTTCACAGGGTTGTCAACAAGTTCAACGTAAAGTGTTAGAAATTTGCCAACAGGTTTGTATCATATCAATTTTTTTTTTTAAAAAATAATAATAATATTAATTTGTGATGTAATGAATATTATAATTTGTGTATAGAGTGGAGGAGAAGAGGCAGAAAAAGGGCGTCAAGCAGGTTTTATTACTCAATGTATGGTTCTCACGAGGAGGTCTTTTGTGAACATGTATCGTGATCTTGGTTATTACTGGCTACGTTTTGCAATTTATATTGCTTTGTGTTTGTGTGTTGGAACTATTTTTCATGATATTGGACATGACTATGGGTCCATTCAGGTAAATATTAGTCGTTCGTTAAATAGAATTAGCGATGAATTTTTGTTAATCCTCCTCTAATTTTATTACGTTTTTCTTTCAGGCTAGAGGTTCCATGTTGATGTTTGTTGCTGCCTTCTTGACTTTTATGGCTATTGGTGGATTCCCTTCATTTGTTGAAGATATGAAAGTAAGTATATATATGACACATCTCTATATAATAAAATAATAATTTGGTTATTTATACTTGTATGTTTTTTTTCTTCTTCTTGTAGATTTTCACTCGAGAAAGATTAAATGGACACTATGGTGTAGCTGCATATGTGGTGGGAAATACATTTTCTTCGATTCCTTACCTCATATTAATCTCAGTTATACCAGGCGCTATCGCTTATTACCTCGTCGGATTACAAAAGGGGTTTGATCATTTTGCGTATTTTTCACTAGTACTTTTTGCGACCATGATGTTAGTCGAGAGCCTCATGATGATTGTAGCAAGCATTGTCCCTGACTTCCTCATGGGAATCATAACAGGTAATAAAAGGAGGTTAAAGCTAATATTTGTTTTTCATGTACTAATTTTTGTGATTATTTGCTAATAGGAGCTGGAATTCAAGGTGTCATGATGCTTAATGGAGGTTTTTTCAGATTGCCTAATGATCTTCCTAAGCCATTTTGGAAGTACCCAATGTATTACATTGCATTTCATAAATATGCAAATCAAGGGTTTTACAAGAATGAATTCTTGGGATTAAATTTCCCTAATGAACAAATTAGAGGGCCAGCCATGATTAGTGGTGAAGAAATATTGAAAAATGTATGGCAAGTGCAAATGGGATATTCAAAATGGGTTGATGTTGCTATAATATTTGGAATGGTAATACTTTATAGGTTAATGTTTTTGGGAATAATTAAAACTGTGGAGAAGGTTAAACCTATGATTAGAGCATTTATGGCTCATTCTTCTAAAAATCCAACTCATGCTGAAGATACAGACTCTTGATTGTGTGTTATTTTACATTATAGTATTTTGTTGTGGATGTAAAATGTGTAACAAAGTTTATCATTATGAATTAAGACCAATGTTTGGTTGGTCATTTAATTCTATTTACCTCCTTTTGTGAGTATATTAATTAAAAGTTTGAATAATATGTTTTCAAGGTTTAAGTAATACGTACTTCTTTAGTCATAAATTATTTGTCATTTTTTAGATGTTTTTAAAAAGAATATTAATTAGTCAATTTAATTAAGAGAGCTTTTTATATGAATAATTTTATCCTCATTTATATATCTTATTATATAATCTCTTTTCATTAAATATTTATTCAATTGAGGTGTTTATACTTATCAAAAACAAGAATTATTAAAGATAACGAAAATAATATCTTGAACTTTTAAAATGACAAATAATATGAAATAGAAAAATCACGATAAATAAGTGAAGACGAAGAAAATATATAGTACTCCCTCTGTTCAATGGTTGTTCACAATACTAAAAATAGTTGTCTAATTTAGAAAAATCAACAGATAATTTATCTTTTGTGTTTGTTTACCTTGCTAGTATTAAATGGATCTAAAACATTTCTTAATGTATTAAATTTAATAAAGTCAATAGATAAAATAGTAATTTCTTAAGATGTGTGTCAAATCAATAGTGGGACAAATTGTTATTTTTTGGATAGAGTTGTCCACTATATTATTCCTTCCATCCGGTATTGTTTGTCATTATTTCTATTTTTAAAATCAAACTATAAAAACTTTGACTAACATTTTAAGATGAATTTTTTCATCATACTAATATGCAAAAAATTATAATTTATAGTACTTTTCATATAGTTTTAGAATATCTAATTTTTTTTAAAAAAAATATCGAATTAATGTGATCTAATTTACCTTTGAAAATTAGTCAAATTGACTTTCGATAAGCGCAACATGACAAACAATTTCGGACGGAGGGAGTATTTTTAATTTTTGATCTGTCAAATTATACTTGTCAATTTTATGAAATTAACAAATAATTTTACACCTTATTTAGCCCTATCATTAATCATAGTTATTTTTTAATATTTTTCAAGATACTGTATTTTATTATATTCAAAAGATAATATAATCAACTTCTCCTTCTATTTATAATTCCTTAAAAATATATAAAGTCAATACTGAACGATTATTATTGAATCGACGAGTATCAAGTAGCAACGTCATTCATTTTTTAGTATGTGGATATTTAATTTCGTCTCTTAAATTCCATTAATGTGAACGCCTTAAGAGTACATTTTCTTGGTGAATTATTTGACCAAGTATACACTAGTGTCCATATTTTTCAACATTGATCACTACGTACTATTGATATGACCATTTTTTTTTCTCGAAATTTTTATTATTTTTTGGAATAAAGTGAAGTAGGATTGGAACTGAATAATAAGTTGACTTGACACTCTTTTCATGTTGAAGAAAAAATATTAAATGTGTTGAATAACTTGACCGTCTTTGTTTTGATGAGAACAAAGCCATCAAATTTTGAGATATTTGTCAAAACAATAAATATTTTTTTATTTTTAATTCAAGTTTTAGATATGATATTATCTTTAAATAAGAAATATTTTATCCTTGAAATGAGACTTTTCGATATGAATTTCAGATAATCAGTTAAGTTTAAAAATATATATAAATTTATATTTTGCGAGAAATAAAAAATAAAAAAGTAAAACAATATCGAATATGTTTACTATTGGTTTAAGTAATACAACAACAAATCTATTATATAATCTTACAAAGAGAGTTTGTTAAAAAAAAATATTGACAAGTAAGGAAAATAATTTTTTTTTGATGAAATCGCTATAACAACAGCGAATTTTGTGTTTTTTTGTAAAAAATTAACATGTCAATTTTGTCAGAAGAAATCGCTCCGTCATGAGTGATTTTTCTCTTTTGGTTTAAAAAAAATTAATGTATTCGTTTGAAATTTTTAACATTTTTTTTACCCTTTTGACTTCGGACTCATAAAATATGTACGTAAATTTCACTCCTACCTTGAAGATAACTATAAATAATAGTTCTGAGAAGGGTAAAATGTGTAAAATTGTATGCGGGATCTTAAACTACAACAATAAAAAAAATATGATAGTTATTTTGCGATGTAATTGTTGTTATATCATATTTAGCTAGAATCATAAATATGAATATTTATAACCAATATTTTATTCAAATATCACCAAAAATTTTAGCAATATTGAATGTAATAACATTTACTCAATTTCTATTAAACATTTTCCATTAATATTAAAAGTAAAACATTGTTATCATTGAATATCTCCTTTTACTATAGTGCACACACTATTGTCTACATTTTTCAACCATATCATCACTATCCTTTTATATAAAAAAGAATAATATATATATATATATATATATATATATATATATATATATATATAGTAATA